AAAATCTGTAGCGACCGATCTAGCGCGACCAGAAACATCTAGCATCAAATGATCAGGGAGGGTAGTTGCCCTGGCGGGCAAAATTCTCTTGGAGGACCTCCGCGCTCCACCCCGAGGATATCGAGGATCTCGGACGCACCGAGGCGTGCTTGAGGCCTCTGTGGGACCTCGTCGGCGCAGGGGCTCCTCAAGCAAACCATGGCCACGACGGCCGACACACACACACACACACACACACACACACACACACACACACAACACACACACACACAAATGCAGAAGGCTGCTGGCCGAAGGTGGCACGGGCTCACACTCCTCCTCCTCCTCCTCCTCCCTCCTCCTCCTCCTCCTCCTCCTCCTCCGCCTCCTCCTCCTCCTTCTCTCCTCCTCCTCCTCTCCTCCTCCCCCTTCCCCTCCTCCTCCTCCTCCTCCTCCTCCTCCTCCTCCTCCTCCTCCTCCTCCTCCTGGTCCTCCTCCCCCTGCTTGCCTTCTCCTCCTGATCCTCCTCCTCCCTCCTCTTCCTCCTCCCTCTTCCCTCCTCCCTCCTCCCTCGTCCTCCTCCTCCTCCTCCTCCTCCTCGTCGTCCTCATCCTCCTCCTCCTCCTCATCCTCCCACGGCGCCGAGTCCCGCCGAGGAAGCGGTCAGGGGGGCGGCAAGGGCGCCGAGGGGCGCATCGGTGGTTCGAGTGGTGCGCTGCCGACGCAGGCTCCGCGAGGACGAGGCTGATGGTAAGGAGGAGGGCTCGTGGACTCAGCATGTCTGTCATTTTGCCGTAGGGCCGAGGCCTCAGGGGTCGAAGTGGTCGTTGCAGTGGAGGGCGAACCCGAGTTGCCCCTTGTCGACGAGAACGGCAACCCAGTGCGCCGAAGGCAAAAAGCGGCCCCAAGGATGAGGAGAAGGACACGGCCGGCGCTGGCGAGGGAGGTCGGCAGTACAGCCAGCGGCGCCGCGGCGGAGGGCGCGAAGGCAGCTCCTATACCAGCGATCGGCGGCGGTGCCGCGGAGTGCAGTGCCACAATCGACTTGCAGTGCAGGACGCCTTCCAAACTGGGGAGGTGCTGTCGCATGCGTTCCTCCTGCGGGTGGAGTGCGTCCTGCGCCCCTGAGGGCGCTGCAACAGTAAGTGCTTGGAAAGAAGTTGGGCATAAGAGAGGGAAAGCAAAAGGATTGGGATGCTGCTGGCAAGAGGTCCTCCTGATCCAAAACTGCTGCCCAGGCTAAGAGAGCTGGAAGAGGAAGAGAAGCAGGCGGAAAGACAACGGCTCTTGTATGGGACCAGCGGTGCTGACTTTGCTCCACCATCGTGAATTCGCGTTATTCTGCGTCGGTGGGTGAGCTGGAGTGCAGCACAATCTCCATCGCGACCTCAACGCCAGAAAGAACTCACCGCGAGGGCCGAATAGATCGCGCAGTGGCGGCCGCTGAAAGCGGACAGCCGACAGTGGCGGCGGCGCCGAGGGATGTGCCTCGATTCTCTCCACACGGGGACGAAGAACCTGGTGGAATGCACAGGCAAGCTGCTGCAACTTGAAACTAAAAAAGCCTGGGTACACGAGAAGGGCTAGAGGCACCACCACGGAATGACCCGAGGAACAGCCAGCCCCTTCCGAACCCAACGCCGTCCCTACTTCAGCAGCTTGACTGCAAGGCGGCGAGGTGGCGCCTTTTAAATGTGAGTTGTCCGATCCTGCACTTGTCGGGGACCAGGAAAGGGGACATCGGTGTTAGCTTTCGGAGGCGTGAGGGTAATGACGCTTCATTGTCTGTCCAGGAGCTTGGCCCTGATCGTGGTGAGCGATCGTGGTGAGCAGCCTCTTGTGCACGGCGAGGCAGGCAAGAGTGGAAGTTGGAAGTCCATGTCCAGTACAGACATTGCCTTGGAAAGATCTGGCCTGGGTGCGGACATCGGTGAAAATCAAAGGCAGCGGCGTGCGATGGGGATTCTCCGCTGCAGTGTCCCGGCGGAGCTCAGCGGACCACACCCACAGGCCGCCCATTGCGGTGAATAAAGACAGTACGGATATCGGGTCTGGACGGGGGGGGGGGGCTCGAGGCATGGTCGACGTGATGTGCACTGGTGTTCCTGCCGAGCTGGCCGGTCAGGCCCACGAGTCACACACGTTCTGGGCAGGAGGCAGGGGCAAGCTTCATAAGTTAGCTTGTATTACTTTGCGGGTGGGGGACGTGCGCTTGGGAGAGTAACAAAACACTCTGTGAGTGGGTCAGTAAACCCTGTCGCAAGGCCCCATAAAACAAGTCTTCTGGGCGTTCCCTCCAGCCGATGAGGAAACGCCCAAGTACCCGTAGTGTGCTGAGTTTTGGAATCGGACTCACATCATTCAAAGGAAGATGTGTGCAAGCCCCTCTGTGTCTCACTGAGATATAATCATTTCATCTGTTTTTCGCAGGAAGTTTCCCGCCCCTGTCCGCCTTGCACACCCCTTAGCCCCGTCTGCATGCTGTCGGCTTCATTTTGGAAGACGTGGTTTGGACCGTCCAAAGAGGAAGAGAAGGCAACGCGGAGGATGACCAGGGCTGCAATACTGCACAGAGCTGGCCAGAGTAACAGGGGGGATAGAGGCGATGGGAGCAGGAGGGAGCATACATATACATACACACTACATACAATGGGTTGGTGATTCTGGAAGACGGAAAAAAAGGAGGGATCAGTGATGGAGGAGGAGGAGAAAGATGCGAAAGAAAAAGAGGACGATGAGGATGACGACGAAGTCTGGAACGCGGAGGGAAATAGGAAAAGGAATATGACGATGAGGAGATGTGTGAGAGCTACCCTGTCCTCCTGGCGCCTCTCCTGCTCCTCCCTTTCTGCAGCCTTCCGTCTCTCGTCCTCAGTGGCGCGAGGGCACAATGGAGCGGAGCCAGAAGCATGGTCGGCTCCGCCATTTCTCTTCCCCCTCCACCTCCGCATCCGCCTCCGCCATCCTTCGCCTCGGCTGCCTCCTCCGCCCTCCTGCCTCCTCCTCCTCCTCCTCCTCCTCCTCCTCCTCAACATCAGCCTCCGCATCCTCGCGCCTGTACCGCTTTACGATTGGGGTTCCCTCCTGTCATCCTCTTCCTCGAGCTCCAGGTCTGTCTCGCGCCAAGGGTACTATCGCAATCGGGTTCATGCTCCGAATGCTTTCAACCTACGTGTAGCATTGTCCAAGGTTGAAACGGGACCAAGTTCGCCAGGTGCATGACCTACTTTGTGTTGCAGGAGCTGGCAGTAGCTAATCCATAGATGAGTGAACGTATGAGGTTGTGGATCGACGATCTCAAGATGTCCTCGGTAGGATCCGAGAGGCAGGTTCAGGTGGAGCCCACGACGTCGATGGCAAGCGCGCACAGCACTTTCGCGGAGCACGGTCTCCAGCTTGCTTCAACGAGCGTCGTTTTGTGTTTGGAGAATAAGGTTGCTAAAGGTGTTGCTCGTCAACTGGGGCGTCTCGGGGTCGTCGTACATGCTGCTTTACAGTCCTCGTATTTGGGGGTTGGTCAGGGCATGGTAAAGAGACTGGCGAGAGCTACCAGGAGGCAAAGGGTTGTTAAGAGTGGTATCCAGAACGAGAAGCTCAGGAGGTAAGCTAGGGCGTCCAGACGTTATTTTGCCACCAAGAAGGTCAAACTGGCGGGCCCCAAAGCGGCTTCTACGTACGGGATGCAGATCTACGGGTGGTTCGGGACGCAGTTACATCTAATGAGGAGGAGGCTAGGAGCTGTCTCTGGGGCCTCTAGGATGGGTAGGTGCCTCACCACGCGATTGGATCTCAGGTCCAAAGGCCGAGAACCAGGGATCAGCCTTCCAGTCTCCAGCCTCCAGGAATGGCTGCGTACCTGGATTCACGAGCCTCGGTTTCGGCCAGCTATTCGGAAGGTTTGGCCAACTTTACCTGCCACGTTTAAGGGTCTCCAGGTGTCGGAATACGCTCGGCACATCAGGGGACCAGTCAGTGCTACTATTGCCAGCTTGTTGCGTGTTGGGTGGGAGCCCAACGAACCTGATGCATGGCATGTTCCAGAACGTCATGATAGAGTGCAGTTCGACTGGGTTTTCCAGGATGATCGTGTTGCCATGGATCAGGCCGAAGACTGAATTCGCGACTTTGGCGAGGCCCGTGCTCAGCTTCTTTGGCGTGACGCTACACAGCACTGGTGCGGCGAAGGTCTCGACCGTGGGGCCGACAATCGATCTCTTCGCTATCTTCTCGAGCAGCTGCAATCGGTCAGGAGAGGCAGGCAGCTCACAGAAGTCCCTCTCAGTACCGCGGGAGGTGGCACCTGGACGCAGTCCCGCAAGCTAGAAGCAGGACGTATTCAAGATGCCCTTTGTCTTCGTTGCAGGAAGGAGGTAGAGACCCCGCTGCATCGGTCCTGGCTCTGTGAGTGCAATGTTGGAGGTCGCGCCTATAGTGATTCCGGCCAGCTTGCTCCTCTAGCTCTCGCACAAGGGGGGTCTCAACCGTGCTTCTGGCATCGGGGGCTATTACCATGGCACATGGCGGCGGTGAACCCGCCACCTCAGGTCGAGGCTTGGGAACTCTTGGGAGGTCTCGGGGGAGCCCCACAGGCGGGTTGTTTGGGAGAGGGTACCGAGGCGCATGCACTCGTCGTCTTTGGGGACGCGTCGGGGGGGGCCCGACTCTTGTACCGAGCAGCTCAGGCATGTTGGGCTCTCTTTGGTGACCCTTCAGAGTTTTGATCCTTCAGTTTGGAGGCCGTCCTTAGGAGGGCCACTATGCGGCGATCGTCAGACTGCTCCTCGGGGTGAACTACGAGCGCTCGAAGTCGCCATCCGTTTTAGCAGAGGCTTGCTTGTGTATGTTACCGACAATGCGGCATTTTTTTCTTGGATGGCATACCAGAGCTTATGTATCCCCTGTCGGCAGTTTTGCAAGTATTTGGCGTGAAATTCGCACCTTATTATAGACTCGGGGTGCAGCTCCTGTCACTGTGTTGTGGGTCCCGTCTCATGTCTCTCCCGAGGAGTTATCGGCGTCGCATGTGCCTGAGCATTGTTGGATCGGTAACTCTGTGGCTGATGAGGTGGCTGGAGGGATGGCGGTGAGAGCTAGGGTGAGCGAGGTTCAGCGTGGGAAGGTTCTGGAGGCGGAAGGAAGGATCGAGTTGGTGAAGAAGAGGCTCATGAAGGCTCAGCTGGACGTCTTTGAGGCGCAAGCTAAGTTTGAAAAGAACTCAACCGATCACGACGTCGACTCTCCTCCCCTCTCTCCTCCTCCCCATCCTGCGCCTCGGCGCCTCGGCCCCCGACGGCGACGGCCGCCGCTCTTTTCTCCACCAGTCATGTCTTGGACGAGGCTGGACAAAGATGCATGGTCTGCTACCCCTCCGCCAGCAAGGCGGCTCGCGCGCGTTGGCTCTCTTCTTCTAGGTGCCACCCACCACTGATAATCGATGGTGTGCTGACTCGTCCGCCTGAGGGCTGTGGGGTTCACGTCGGCGGAGGTTGGGTGCACGAGAGTCATTCCATGGTTTATTCCAAGACTGTGCTTGTTTGGATCTGTCGTAGCTGTGGGGGAACTGCCAAGGAGCAGCTGCGTGCCCTCAGCACCCGCTGCTCCCCCGATCTGATTACTCGCACCCGACGTGAGTACCTCGATCGGTTTCTTTGAGGACCCCCCACCTAAGGCGATCGGGTCTAAGGGCGGTGGAGATCCCTAATTATCTGTGTGTTGCCTCGCAACTGTTGCGCTCCGCTCCGCTCCTCCTCCTCCTCCTCCTTCTCTTTCTCCTCCTCCTCCTCCTCCTCCTCCTCCTCCCCTCGCCTCACCCTTCTCCCCCCTCGCATATTTTGCCACTTCCTCCTCCTCCTCCTCCTCCTCGTCCTCTTCCCCTTCCTCATCATCACCACCACCACCATCATCATCACCATCAGCAGCCTCCTCATCAGCATCACCATCATCAACAGCCACATCATCACCATCGCCACAATCATCATCAGCAGCATCATCACAATCACACAACCCTCATCACCATCATCTCCACCGCCATAGCAATCATCATCCCAACCATCAGCCTCGTCACCATCACCACCAGCATCAACACCACCACCATCATTACCATCACCAGCACCAGCGCCAGCGCCAGCACCTGCGCCATCACTGTTACCACCATCACCAGCAACATCACCATCACCATGATGATGACCGTCATCATCATTATCATCATGGTCATCATTATCATCATCATCATCATCATCATCATCATCATCATCATCATCATCATCATCATCATCATCATCATCATCATCATCATCATCATCATCATCATCATAAGCACCAACATCATCATCGTCATCGACGTCATCATCATCGTCATCATCACCATCATCAGCATCGTCTGTCCAGGAGCTTGGCACTGATCGTGGTGAACGATCTTGGTGAGATGCCTTGTGCACAGCGAAGCAGGCACGAGTGGAAGTTGGAAGTTCATGTGCAGTATAGACATTACCTTGGAAAACCCCGGCCTGGGTGCGGATATCGGTGGAAATCAAAGGCAGCGGCGTGGGATGGGGATTCTCCGCTGCAATATCCCGGCGGAGCTCAGCAGACTACACCCACAGGCCGCCCATTGCGGTGAATAAAGACAATCATGGATATCGGGTCTGGACGGGGGGGGGGCTCGAGGCATGGTCGAAATGATGTGCACTGGTGTTCCTGCCGAGCTGGCCGGTCAGGCCCACGAGTCACACATGTTCTGGGCAGGAGGCAGGGGCAAGCTTCATAAGTTAGCTTGTATTACTTTGCGGGTGGGGGACGGGCGCTTGGGAGAGTAACAAAACACTCTGTGAGTGGGTCAGTAAACCCTGTCGCAAGGCCCCATAAAACAAGTCTTCTGGGCGTTCCCTCCAGCCGATGAGGAAACGCCCACGTACCCGTCGTGTGCTGAGCTTTGGAATCGGATTCGCACCATTCAAAGGAAGATCTGTACAAGCCCCTCTGTGTCTCCCTGGGATCTGGTCTGCTGTTCGTCGTGAATTCCCCCGCCCCTGTCCGCCCTGCACACCCCTTAGCCCCGTCCGCATGCTGTCGGCTTCATTTTGGAAGACCTAGATTGGACCGTCCAAAGAGGAAAAGAAGGCAACGCGGAGAATGAGGACCAGGGTAACCCAGTATGCATCAACTGTGCTGCAATACTACAAAGAGGCGAGCCAGAGTAAGAGGAGGGTATAGAGGAGGAACGCGATGGGAGAAGGAGGGAGCATGAATACCTATACGACCACCCTGCGGGCGATAAGGAGGTTGGGGGGATTGAGATCAAATGCCCCCCCTGACTGACCTCCAGCCTGTCACCTTGATCTCATCACTCTCTTTCTCTGTCTCTCTCTCTCTCTCTGTGTCTCTCTCTCTCTCTCGCCACAGGAAGCATTGGATAAGATAAGCTGGGTTGGATAAGAAAGCCCGCCGCAGGCGCCGACAAAAATGAATTGATGGATTGGGTTGGGTGGATAAGATTGGATGGGATAAGATGGATTGGATAAGATAAGATGGGTTGGATCGGAAGCGATGGATTGGAGAAGATAAGATGGATTGGATTGGCCCGCCGCAGGCGCAGAAACAAATGAATTGATGGATTGGGTTGGGTGGATTGGATTGGGTGGGATAAGATAAGATGGGACAAAATGGGTTGGATAAGATAAGATGGATTGGATTGAACAAGATGGATTGGATAAGAAAGCCCTCCGCAGGCGCCGAAAAAAATGAATTATGAAATTAACGACATGTGTTAGCGCCGGGACGCCCAGGACACCCGGGACACCCGGGACACCGCCCGGCCCAACTGGGACACCTCCCGGCCACCGGCGGACGGGAAACAGACTTTCGCTCCTACTGACACCTGGGACACCCGGGACACCGCCCGGCCCAACTGGGACACCTCCCAGCCACCGGCGGACGGGAACGGACTTTCGCTCCTACTTCGGCCTAGCTACAGGAGGATCACGCGCAGCTTCGCCTCGCCCGCACGCACGACACGAACACGAAACCGAAACCGGTTTCCCAGTGGCGGGTCTCCGCTTCACTTCGATCTCACCCCCAACCTCCGCTATATGCATCATGTACCCGTACGACCACCCTTCGGGTGATAAGGAGGTAGTGGGGGGGGAGAGGGGGAGGAACCAACATCTGACTCAATCGATCTCACTATCGATCTCACTCAACGGGACACCACGGGACACCACGGGACACTTGTCGATCTCACTATCGATCTCACTATCGATCTCACTCAACGGGACACCACTGGACACCACGGCCCACCACGGGACACCACGGGACTCCGCGGGACACCACATCGATCTCACTATCAATCTCACAATCGAACTCACTATCGATCTCACTTAACGGGACACCACGGGATACCGAGGGACACCTGTCGATCTCACTATCGATCTCACTATCGATCTCACTCAGCGGGACACCACGGGACACCTCGGGGCACCACATTGATCTCAGTATCGATCTCACTGTCGGTCTCACTCGACGGGACACGACGGGATTCCTGTCGATCTCACGATCGATCTCACTATCGATCACACTCAACGGGACACCACGGGACACCACGGAACACTTGTCGATCTCACTATCGATCTGACTATATCTCACTCAACGGGACACCACGGGACACCACGGGCCACAACGGGCAACCACGGGACACCGCGGGACACCTCTCGATCTCACTATCGGTACTATCGACCTCACTCAACGGGACACCACGGGACACCTCGGGACACCACATCGATCTCACTATCGATCTCACTCAACGGAACACCACGGGACACCGAGGGGCACCTCGGTGCACCACATCGATCTCACTATCGATCTCACTATCGATCTCACTCAACGGAACACCACGGGACACCTCGGTGCACCACATCGATCTCACTATCGATCTCACTATCGATCTCACTCAACGGGACACCACGGGACACCATGGGACACCACATCGATCTCACTGTCGATCTCACTATCGGTCTCACTCAACGGGACACCACCGGACACCACAGGCCGCCACGGGCCACCACGGGACACCGAGGGACACCTCTCGATCTCACTATCGTCTCACTATCGATCTCACTCAGCGGGACACCACGGGACACCACGGGGCACCAAGGAACCCCTGCCGATCTAACCATCGATCTCACTATCGATCTCACTCAACGGGACACCACGGGACACCACGGTACACGGGACACGGCGGGACACCTGCCGATCTCACTATCGACCTTACTATCGATCTTACTTTGTGGGACACCACGGGACACCTCGGGGCACCTCTCGATCTCACTATCGGTCTCACTATCGATCTCACTCAACGGGACACCACAGGACATCACGGGACACCACGGGACACCTGTCGATCTCATTATCGATCTCACTATCGATCTCACTTTTTGGGACACCACGGGACACCACAGGACACCACGGGGCACCACATCGATCTCAATATCGATACTGGGACGCCCGGGACACCCAGGACACCCGAGACACCGCCCTGCCCAAACGGCCACCGGCGGACGGGAAAACGCCCGCGGCACCCGGGACACCGCCCGGCCCAACCAGCCACCGGCGGACGGGCACCCGGACTTTCGCTCCTACTTCGGCCTAGCTGCAGGACGATCACGCGCAGCTTCGCCTCGCCCGCACGCGCGACACGAACACGAAACCGACTTCCCCGGGGGGGGGTCTCCGTTTCACTGCGATCTCACCCCCCCGATATACATGCATGTGCAAAAAGCCCAGTAGATGCCAGGGGGTGGTGATTCTGGAAGAAAGAATAACGAGGAGGGATCAGTGATGGAGGAAGAATGCGCACAAGAAAAAGAGGACGATGAGGATGACGACGAAGCCTTGAACGCGGAGGGAAATAGGAAAAGGAATAGGGGAGAAGGAAGATGTGTCAGAGCTGCCCTCTCCTCCTGGCGCCTCTTCTGCTCCTCCCTTTCCGCAGCCTTCCGTCTCTCGTCCTCAGCGGCGCGAGGGCACAGTGGAGCGGAGCCAGAAGCATGGTCGACTCCGCCATTTCTCTTCCTCCTCCACCTCCGCGTCCGCCTCCGCCACCCTTCGCCTCCGCTGCCTCCTCCGCCCTCCTCCTCCTCCTTCTCCTGCTACTGCTCCTCCTCCTCCTCCTCCTCCTCCTCCTTCTCCTCCTCCTCCTCCTCCTCCTCTCGACTCACCCTTCTCCCTCCCTCGCATCTTTCGCCGCTTCCTCCTCCTCCTCCTCCTCCTCGTCCTCTTCCCCTTCTTTATTATCATCAACATCATCATCACCATTATCATAATCATCATCATCATCATCAGCATCATCATCATCATCATCATCATCATCATCAGCATCATCATCGTCATCACCATCGTCATCGTCAACAGCCACACCATCACCATCGCCACAACCATCGTCAACCACATCAGCAGCAGCCTCATCACAACCACCATAGCCCTCACCACCGTCATCCCCCACCACCATAGCAACCATCATCCCAACCATCATCCTCGTCACCATCACCACCAGCATCAACAACACCACCAACGCCATGACCATCACCAGCGCCAGCACCAGCACCAGCAACATCAACATTACCACAATCACCACCACCATCACCATCACCATGATGATGACCATAATTATCATCATCAGCATCATCATCAGCAGCATCATCATCATCGTCATCGTCAGCGTCATCATCATCATCATAATCATCAACATCAGTATCATCACCTTCATACTTGTACACATCACCATCACCACAACCATCACCAACATCATCATCACCACCACCATCAGCACCACCACCACCATCATCATCATCATCACCATCACCATTACCATCACCTTGATGATCATCATCATCATCATCATCATCATCAACATCATCATCATCATCATCATCATCATCACCATTATCATCATCATCGTCACCATCATCATCATCATCACCACCATCACCATCATCATCATCATCAGCATCATCATCGTCATCATCATCATCACCACCACCTTCATCACCACCATCAACTGCCCGCCGCGGGGGGGCTCCCGACGTCGACGCGGCGGGGGGCGCCGCCTGCTCCGTGCGAGGGGCCACAGCAGGGCGGACTGGCTCAGGGGGGGAAACATCCTCCTCCTCCTCCTCCTATTCCTCCTCCTCCTACCCATCCTCGAGCAGCAGGGAGGGAGGGAGGGAGGGAGGGAGGGAGGGAGGGAGGGAGGGGGGGAAACATCAACATGGAATCGGCAGTACGTCGCCAATAGATCGGGGATTCGCCCCCGATAGCGAATCCGCACGGTGTCGGCGATCCATGGCCGAGTGGGGGTTTGTTGCGCCCCCCCGCCCCGTGAGATTGTCCCCCCCCCGAACCTTGCCTCTGGCACCGGCATCCCCAGCGCGCGCCTGTGCAATAATTACCGCCGTGGGGCCGAGGATGGCCACGGCCAGGCATCGCATGCACGCAGGAGAAAGCCTGCACACCACCGTAGAGGGAACCAGTTAGTGGACACTCCCCCTCGCCTCCAAATTCCAAGCTGGCACGCGCCGGGAAGACTGCGGTCGAAGTGAAATTCATTCAACCCACCGCCAACGTTGATCCTTGGAGGGGGGTATTGACAGACGAATATGGCACGACTGTTCGCTAATTTCTTCCGAGCCCTGTATGCACGCTAAGCAACATGTCCCGACCGCACGCTGAAAGCCTAAGGCCGGGAACTTTTGCTTGGCGTGTCGCGGCGGCTGCCCTGGCGACACGCTATGCCGTGCGAGCTGATGGCGTGTCGCTCTCCTGGGCGGGGTGACTGGGAAGGGTCGGGACGCTGACGCTCGGGGAAAGGGACGTGATTAGCGTGTTGTTCCGAAGCTCGCTGGACCAGACCCGACGGAGCGACACGCCAAACAACGAATGTTCTCCATCACAGACTTTAGAAGGTCCCAATTCGCTCCTGGCTCGGCCAGACGACCTGGTGTATATTTCGACCCCCTCCCAGGAGCAGGCGTGGGGTATACAGATCACGCCTCGAGGAAGAGCAGCAATTCATACTTATGAGAACTTCCGGATCGCCCGGATTTCTGGGATCTGCGCTGGACCGCCCGCCCTGGCGCGCGGAGCACGCCAGGGACGCCGTCGGCGGGGGGCTCCAGCGCCGATCTACAAAACCCCCGCGCCCCCCGAACAGGTTGCGCTCGTGTCGACTATTGCTCTCCGGGGGCATGGTGGTGGTCTGCAGGTGTTCCTGGGTCTAAGTCGGGCCTGTCCCCCATACAGGGGGATTTTCGACGAAAAATGAAAAAGTACTCCAGACATAATAGAAAATAGTCCAAAAATAATATGGGGACTATTGTTTGAGTATGTTTTGTGTTTTTTTGGTCTGGGTATCTTTGTGGTATTTTTTATTATTCGTCGAACATCCCCCTGTAGGGGGACACGCCCGACATAATCCTAGGTCAATAAACTTCGCGCCTTGCGCCCCGCGCGGATCTCCTCGCGTTCCCGCGTCGCCTTCCAACTCCAGCTCCTCCCCCTCCTCCTCCTCCTCCTCCTCCTCCTCCTCCTCCTCCTCCTCCTCCTCCTCCTCCTCCTCCTCCCCCTCCTTCTCCTCCTCCACAACCTCCGTCTCCTCCGTCTCCTCCTCCTCAACCTCCTCTTCCTCCTCCTCCTCCTCCTCCTCCTCCTCCTCCTCCTCTTCCTCCTCCTCCTCGTCATTCTGCGCTTCCCAGGTCTGATGTCCTCCTCGCGCTGCTGCTTCTCCTGAGCAGCATTCTTCCTCCTCTCTTCGGCGAGCCGCAGCTCCTCCTGCGGAGGAGATGATCGGAGGCCCAGGACGAGGAGGAGAGAAGAGAGGAGGAGGGAGGAGGAGGGAAGAGGAAACAGGGAGGAACCACTGGGGAGGAGTGACAAGAGAGGATGAGGAAGAAGACGGGATGGAGTGGGGGAGAAGGGATCATGGTAAAGGAAGAAGGAAGGGTGTACGCTTGAGGAGCATCGGAAGGAGCTCGGATGGAGTTAAGCGGAGCATCTGAGCATCGAAAGGGAGCGTCGGCAGGAGAATTGAGCGTGTTGGGGCAAGGCCCAAAACTCGGAGGTGGACAGGAGACCCTTCAGCAAAACACCCTGTAGTAAAACGGGTCCCGGACCAGACCCGGTGGGTGCAGGCCTGCTAACCACCCGAGAACCAAAAACATGCAATTCCCTTATCGGCTCGGCAGGGTGGGGCTTTCACCAACCTCCGAGATAAAGTCAAACACCGCGGGGAGAATCGGACGCATCAGAGGGAGTGCCGTCGAGAAAGGCAGCATCGGAATGAGCAGTACCCGCCAAAGAAAAAAGGCGACCAGCGGTGTAGTTGCGCCCTGTGTCCGCACAGGTTTTGACATCGGGGTGCCCCCCCTCTTTCCCTCCACCACTCCCTCCCTCAGAGGAGAAGCAAGAAAAGAAGCGGAGGAACAGGAAGAGAAAGAGAAGGAAGAAACGAAGGGGGAGGCGAAACCTTCTCTTGATCGGCTTTCCGGCGTTGGAAATCTTCCTTCTTTCTCTTCAGCTCGGCGATGCGCCGCTCCTGGTCAATGCGCTCCTGGTCCGATTCCTGTGGCTAGGTTCGCTGCCCTCTCTGATCTGGCCAGGCATGCAATAACAGGGCCTTTCGTTCCTCCTCGTCCTCCTCCCACCCTCCTTCTCTCTCCCACGCATCTCCTTCGCAAGCATGTTGGAAACGAGTCCTGGATGAAACAAATCCTAGATGTCTTTCGCAATTTTCAAGCCCCTGGCGGGGCCATTCACGGGCCCTGGGACTGGCAAGAACGACTCAGGATGAAGGACTGGTCCTGGGGAGCTCCATGTGGTCTGGGACCCGACTCTTACCCGGCCGAGCATGAGTTCGACCGCTACGATGCATTTTTGACAACATGCAGTGTAGCCGAACGGTGGTCACGAGAACGCTAGCCAAGAACAGGATCACTTTCGCCACAAGCAAAAGGCCCCATGACGTCATTACAAAGAAAAAGCACTCCAAGGTGAAGATCCCACGCAAGAAGAACATGAGGGTATCCCTGCAAAGCCAAGGCTGATCAAAACCCTCGTGCCAGCTGTACTCGCCATATGAGGCCCGCACTGGTCCAGCGGGTACTTGCCGCTCGGCGCACAGGGCACAGCACAGTTGGAGAAAACTCTGAGGATTTTTGCTCTGCCCTCGTGCTCGCTCTGCGTTTGAAGGATTTTCGCCCCGGCGCGCACACGTAGACATTCATGACCTGAGTTGACTACCTACCAGACCACCCCAACCCAACCCGAAGACCCGAATTTCGGGTTGGGGGGGGTATGGGTTCCATGTGTGTTTTTTCCCAACCATCCTGTGGTGTTGGGTCCTCGTTTTGAAGAGACGGTGCCCCGCGTTTTCCTTCCTTCCTTCCTCCCGCTGCCTCCTCCCCCCTCCCATCATCATCATCATCAACACCCATTTCGGCACACCCCTCACACGTTTCGTGGCTCCATAGGGAGCTCCACCGAAGGCCCCAGTGCCCGCGGCCGCATGCGTCCCCCACACCCATTTCGGCACACCCCTCACACGTTTCGTGGCTCCATAGGGAGCTCCACCGAAGGCCCCAGTGCCCGCGGCCGCATGCGTCCCCCACACCCATTTCGGCACACCCCTCACACGTTTCGTGGCTCCATAGGGAGCTCCACCGAAGGCCCCAGTGCCCGCGGCCGCATGCGTCCCCCACACCCATTTCGGCACACCCCTCACACGTTTCGTGGCTCCATAGGGAGCTCCACCGAAGGCCCCAGTGCCCGCGGCCGCATGCGCACCCATTTCGGCACACCCCTCACACGTTTCGTGGCTCCATAGGGAGCTCCACCGAAGGCCCCAGTCCATTTCGGCACACCCCTCACACCGGGCCCCAGGTGCCCGCGGCCGCATGCGTCCCCCACACCCATTTCGGCACACCCCTCACACGTTTCGTGGCTCCATAGGGAGCTCCACCGAAGGCCCCAGTGCCCGCGGCCGCATGCGTCCCCCACACCCATTTCGGCACACCCCTCACACGTTTCGTGGCTCCATAGGGAGCTCCACCGAAGGCCCCAGTGCCCGCGGCCGCATGCGTCCCCCACACCCATTTCGGCACACCCCTCACACGTTTCGTGGCTCCATAGGGAGCTCCACCGAAGGCCCCAGTGCCCGCGGCCGCATGCGTCCCCCACACCCATTTCGGCACACCCCTCACACGTTTCGTGGCTCCATAGGGAGCTCCACCGAAGGCCCCAGTGCCCGCGGCCGCATGCGTCCCCCACACCCATTTCGGCACACCCCTCACACGTTTCGTGGCTCCATAGGGAGCTCCACCGAAGGCCCCAGTGCCCGCGGCCGCATGCGTCCCCCACACCCATTTCGGCACACCCCTCACACGTTTCGTGGCTCCATAGGGAGCTCCACCGAAGGCCCCAGTGCCCGCGGCCGCATGCGTCCCCCACACCCATTTCGGCACACCCCTCACACGTTTCGTGGCTCCATAGGGAGCTCCACCGAAGGCCCCAGGCATGATTTCGGCACACCCCTCACAGCTCCATAGGGAGCTCCAGGCCCCAGTGCCCGCGGCCGCATGCGTCCCCCACACCCATTTCGGCACACCCCTCACACGTTTCGTGGCTCCATAGGGAGCTCCACCGAAGGCCCCAGTGCCCGCGGCCGCATGCGTCCCCCACACCCATTTCGGCACACCCCTCACACGTTTCGTGGCTCCATAGGGAGCTCCACCGAAGGCCTCAGTGCCGCCGCCCGCATGCGTCACCCCCACCCATTTCGGCACACCCCCCGCATTTCTCGCACGGCAGGGTCATCACCACGGTGGCGTGCCAGGGGCGCACCATGCGCGAAGGCGACGGGGCGGGGGAACGGCGCTCCGGGGGCGGCCAGACCTCCGGGGCGCGAGCAGTCCGCGGCCAGACCATCTCTCGGTCCTGTGGACTCTCGCCCTGGGCCGTCGGCTGCCCGGCGCGCTGCTCCCTCGGTCGACGTCGCCCAGGCGTGATCCTGGATTGCGGCCGCCACGATTTTTTTTGAGCTCAACGCCCGCACAGCCTCTCACTGTCAGCAGCGACGGCTGGGAAATCGCTGCTGCATCCACCATGCCACTGAGGCAAGGAGGTAAAGCCACGAAGGTGGCAGGATAATATTAGTCAGAAGAACCCGACTCAGCATCCAGGTCCCTCCTTCCCTCACTGCCGCTCCGAGCGGCTTCAAGAAGGCGGAGGGACTTAGAAGCGACGCTGAGCTCTCGGGCCTGACGGGCCTGACGGACCTCCTCCTCCGAGGGGGGGGAGGCTCGACCGAGGAAGCAGGGACCGCCTCCTCCTCCACCGAATGGTTCCCAGCTGGGGCCACCACGGCCCTGCTGCACGAGGAAGGCTCCTCGGCCTGAGAACCAAACAGAGCACAGATCTGGTGAGTGTTCACCGTCACATCCCGCTTCCTGGGGTTCGGATGTATTCCTCGGCAGAGGCCCCTCCAAGAATACTCAGCATGCCTGGAGGGCCGATCGTTACAAAACTTCCCGAGGCCGTCCACACGTGCACCTGTGCTGTGGTAGCGGCATTTCACGCAAACAAAAAGGTGCGAACCGCCGCTGCAGGAGAAAGCCAAAACACGATGTCGCAGTGAAACAAGCACACCTTCATCAGGCTTGCACCTGCCCGTGCATATACCAGGATCAGGGACACCAGACGCCCTGGAACCCAGCAAACAAACACGACAACGCCACACACCAGACCAGGGGGCCCAGTCGTGTCCAGGCTTGTCCCAGGAAAACCTGGGCTTGGGGGCAGGCGGAATGTATTCGGCATCAGATAAGTCTAGACGGGGCCACTCTAAAAGAAGCTTGGCCCCCAGTCGACACACTGATTTGGCAATGTCAATCCTCTTGCTGAGATCTTCACTGCCATTAACATCAGTCGCATGAAACGAAAGCGCAGCTTTGGCCGCCGCGTCTGCATCGTTATTGCATTTGCGACAAAACCGTTCAAACTGGTCGATGCCAGCTTCATCTAAATCTTTGTGAGCAGCGACCTTGACAATATCCTTAATGCACGTGCCTTCTCGAGCATTGGCTTCCATGATCATGCCACTGTACACCCTCTTACCCGAGAGGCGCTCGACAGGAGGCAACTTAGAATGCTTAACCACATTCAAGCAATCTGAGAACAGGGTGGAAGGGTACTTGGCCATATTACCAGCCATGCCACGAGCTAAATATTCTCCAGCCTGCGGGGTCTGAGGGTATTGAGCCCACACAGGCCCCATAACCTCCCCTAGAAGGTCCCCACTGTCGTTGTGCATCGTGATGGCCCACGACGCACGGCTAAGTTCACGAATTATGTGCCGCCTGCAAGACCCGTCGAGAAACAGCGAACCCCAGACAGCACCTTCCTGGGGAGCCTCGAAACCTTCGGGGCCCTCGAGCAGATCACGATGCCAGCGGAACACCACATTACCTTCGAGGCAGGGCCTCGGAAGGGTATCGGCGGGATGGGCGAAAGCCCCGAAGCAGAAAAGGAGGCCCGAGTAGTCCTCAGCCTCAGTGTCTAGGGCCGCAGCAATGATCCAGTCCTTAGCAAGCTCCGCTCTCTGATCGCACACATGTGGGCATACCCACAGACGGTGGTGCAGCGAATCTGCCGCACCGCAATGGACGCACTTAGAACAAACTTGATATCCACAGGCAGTGGCACGATCAGGAGTCCAGATGGCGTTACACGCCAGAGCTCGCACCATGCCTTTTTCACTGGCAGAAAGCTTGCTAGACGCAAGAGCGGCTCGGGGGACATCCAAGCAGAGGCGGCCTCCAGACGACCATTTGCAACCCAAATCCCTTTCCAGAGCTCTGATCATACCTTCCCGACAAAAAATACACAAAAGAGCAGGGGAGGTCACTCCGAGGGGGATGTGGTACCCTCTGTCATCAATAATGGTCATGAAGTTGTCCATATGCCACCCTAACCTGACCAGGCTAAGCCTAAGGGCAGAGACAGGACCCCCCAACAAGACCCCAACTGATCCTGCTAAGGCCCCAGACGGCATTCCAAGAATCTCTAAGCTCCTTGAGGGCCAGGGAGTGCGGGAAGACCTTAGTCTGAGCAAGCCATATTTCTTTTCCCCACCTAAGCACAGGCGCGCAAGCCGCCCTCCAGGTGGGATCTCCAGCTAAAATACAGCAGGCAGTGAGACTCCTGCCCTGAGAAAACGGCCGCACAGTCGAGAAGGCTTGTCTCCGCATCAATAACAGGTCGTGGTCGGAAACACCCACAATGTCGGCCCCGTAGGAGCCGCCCGCAAGAGGGCCCGAGGAAAACACCCGAAGAGTTTTTCTCCCAAGGTCACCTGAAAGCCTCTTGAGCCTCTTAGCTCGACGGCACATAGTAGCCAGCCTCGACTTGAGCTTGCTAGCCCGACCAGAGGCACGAATGGACTTGCGCGCCGTGTAGTCCACACCTAAGTTGACAGTAACATCCTCGATCCTGCCTGCCAGACTGCCAAGCTGCTTGCCAACCTCTCTGGCCACCGCCCTATTCGAGGAGACCGTGCGCACTTTGGAC